TATATATATATATCTCAACATGTTATTATTTTCTATATTTGAAATGTAAAGTAGTCAATTCCAAACATGATAGAAAAAGTGTAGTTACAGTCATGGTCAGATGTTTACAAACACTCATCATGGACATGAATGTCATAGTAATTTTGGGCTTCCAATGATTTCTTTGAACTGTTCTTTTTCCAGGGTAGAATGATTGTACAGGATTCCATAAGTTTGAACTTATTTTGGATTTTCTCTAATCCACACAGGCTCAAACATGCATACAGACTCATATACATACATTTCCTTATTTAAATCTTTGAATAAGTGGCGCTAAAGGTTTTACATTGTCTTTAACTTGACAAGAGCAAAGCCTGTTAACGTCTCACTAGTCATCATAATTGACTACAACTGGTAATTTCAATTGCTAGCAAAAAAAGGATTTGTTTTTTCAGCACTCATTGGATTTACCAATATTGTAAAAATTGAGAAGTTCTAAGTAGGAGAATTGTAGATATCTACAAGTTGGGAAGGTCTCTTGAAGCCGTTTTTAAACAACTGCAGACTGTTCAAACAAGTAAGTACAAGGTATTCAGATGCATCACCACTTTGCCAAGATCTGGAAAAAGACCAAAAGTGTCACCATCAGATTTGAGGAATTTGCTTAGGATGTTCAGGAACATCAAGGCTCAAGCGTGCCATGAGCTGGAAACTACTGGAACACCAGCAACACTGTCCACAGTGAGGCCAGTTTTACATTACCATGGACTAAGATGCCAACTCTGCTCCAAAACTGACACCTTCAAGCTCGACTAAAATTTGTAGCAGCCCGCATGGAACAAATGCCTTCTGGAGAAGAGTTTCATGGTCAGATGAGACAAAGATTGAGCTGTCTAGCCACAATGACACAAGGCATGGAGACTGTTTTGCAGCCAGTGGTACTGGGGGCATTCCACAGAGTAAATGTAATAATGAATGAGAATCACTACCTCCAAATTCTGCAACTTCACCTCAAATCAACATTTAGTTGACTGACAACACAACTGAGTGTTCCAACAGGACAATGAAACACACATCAAAACTGGTTTTGGAAGGTATAAACGGGCTGACAAGAAGCTGTTGGAATGGTCTTCTTAAACCTCAGCCATACTGAAAATTTGTGAACAACACTTTAAAGCCAGGTCTGTGTCAGCTAACCAACCAACTTAAATGAAGTCTACAAATGTTGGCAACAAGAGCGGTTTTTGCTTCTTGATGACTACCAAGTACATCTGGCTAAAGTGCAACTTGCTAAAGGACACTTAACCAAATGTTAGTGTGGTGTTTCAAGCTTTATGTGTAATTTGGACCCTGTGTGGATTAAAGAAAATCCAAAATCAGATCAAACTTGTTCACTCAAGTCTTGTTTTTTAACGTAATTAAAGATTTATATTGCACAATCATTCCACCCTGGAAAAAGTAAAGTTCAAAGAAATCATTATAATCCTCAAATAACCATGACATTCATACCCTAGATGAGTGTTTGTAAACTTCTGACCACAACTGTAAATTTACATGACACTTCATGCAATCATATAGCTACTGAAAGTTGAAAAAATATATAACTCATCACACCATTTTCTGACATCAGAGAATAACTAAAACACACATACAAACACACATATGTACAGACACTACAACGACTTCTTAAGAGAGGAAGCACTGTTTAATCTCACCACTGGAGCTCCATTTTGCCACATCTACTTCTGCATCTCTCAGCCTTGCTATCTTTTATATAAAAGGGTTTCATCAACAAACATCTCCAGTGCTCTACCGTAAGTATAATAACTAGCATTAAATAATGTGGTTTTAGTTCTGTTTACTTTGTAGTAAATTGGTGTCCACACTAGCAGTACCCTCCCAGCTCAGCCCAGTGTTGGCTCAGCTCTGTTCCCTTCCTCCTTCCTCTGAATACTGAATTGAAGGGCACGGTGCTGAGCAGCTAGGTCAGGCTCAGAGCTTCACTGGACCTTCATCAAAGCAGCGGTGAGGGCAGACTCCAAATCAGTCTGGATAGAAAGAGACAGACACACAAAGTTATTTGCCATGCCTGCACCTTTGTCCCAAGAACACCGGAAAATTTCCAGTGTTTAATTTTCCACTTCAAAATCTATCACACAATCCTTCCTTGACAGCCTTGCATGTCCTGTTCAGACTGTAACCGCCTTTTCCTGGTAGGATGTTGTTTAGATTTCATTAGTAAAGAGACTTTTTCAGGTTGATGAGGGCAACATCAGGTTTCTGGGACATTGGTCCATTAGTCACTCGTTAAGTTTTCCATCGATTTTAAACCACTATCAAGAAACCAACCACACTAAGGCCAAAACCCACCCTATTGGTATTTTTTTCCAGACCTGCAGCACTTGTTCATTTAGATCATGCATGAAAACACAGGTGTGTATGTCAGTTTATCATGTTATCATTTTTATCTTCATTATATCTCTGTATGAAGTGAGAATGCAAAAACTCACAACACCAAAATGGTAAACGGCCTGTATTTGTGTAGTGCTTTACTAGTCCCTAAGGACCCCAAAGCGCTTTACACGTTCAGTCATCCACCCATTCACACACTGTAGCGACATTGTAGCCACAACCACCCTGGGGCGCACTGACAGAGGCGAGGCTGTCGGACACTGGCGCCACCGGGCCCTCTGACCACCACTAGTAGGCAACGGGTGAAGTGTCTTGTCCAAGGACACAACGACCGAGACCGTCCAAGCCGGGGCTCGAACCGGCAACCTTCCGGTTACAAGGCGAACTCCCAACTCTTGAGCCACGATCGCCCTCACCAAGCAAATGAATAATAAAAACATGTACTTATTGTTCTTCTTTGCAAGTTTCATATTGTCTAAGACAAAGTAGTCAGTGACAGGCACTATTAGTGTCACTGTTTGACAAATGCTTATTTACAGGTATTGAATAGCGAAACATTTCACTGGCCTAAAAAAAGTTCGCAAAATGTATATAAAAACACATACATGTACACGTACAGGTAATGACAACAAGGTACACGTATACGTAACATTTGCTCATTTTGACATCAGCTGATGATCTATTAGGATTTGAGAATTATAAACATAATTCCCAGAAGCTAAATAGATTTTTATAATCCTGGTAAAAAGTTCCATCCAGACTGTGTAATGTGTCTAGGAGAAGTCTTGAACAGACATGCATACATATGCTATGATAATTATATGGGTTAAGAAAAGCTAATGGACCAGTCTATAGCCATTTTCATAAAACATAGCTTTATGGAAACGTAGTTTTTAGTATGTGCATTTAAGACCACTGAAAAAGGAGCATGATATGAAAGATGGGTGTAGCAACTAGGACATGAGCAACATTCATGTCAATCCATCAAAAATACCGGTTGAGACATTGAAAGGAGTTACACAAGCTGACCAAAAAAATCCCAGTCTATATGGCATTGTCAGTAACTGGACTGTTTATAAACTCAGTCTTGTGATTTTAAATCCAAAGTGGCTCTTAAGCTGTAGCTATACATAACTGTTTGATTGATCATCCAGTTTTATTAATCAAGATCGGAGTTTGAGGTTAGTCTATAAAAAGAAGCCCTCAGAGTATTTCTAAATGTAAAAATGTCACAATATCATCGGCGACAGGGTGTATTAACTTGATATAAATCCCACTCAGGAATGCAAAAAGAAACACAGCAAGCCCTTACACGTCTGTGCACTCACAAAATCCCCAAAACGCCCCCTCATATCTAAAAAGATCACATACACAAAATAATGAAACACTGCATGAATTCCACAGACATAATTGCCTGCCACACCTAAATCTACATGTGGCAGTAATGCGAGTTATTTAGAGAGGAAAGTCTATAGCACCACTGCAAAATCGACACATGGAGGCTAAAAGACAATTAGAGCATCAGCGACAGGTTAACTGTGCTGTGAGTTAGTGTAAAATCATTAGTGCAGATGGAAATGAATGCTTGTTAAAGCTGTTTGTTGTTTCAGTGTGGCAACCAGTAGGTGTCACCTTCTCCACATTAGGAAGCTGTGTTCCTTTTAAGATAACATGAGACTAAAGTTTGTTCCTTTGTCCTCCCTCTGATATCTTGGGAGCTATCAGTTCTGCCCCCATGATTCAAGTGGTAACTGTGTTTGTGTGCTGGACCGGATGTGGTGCCAGCCCCATATTTCCTCTGGTGCCTCAGATTAAAAGATGCCACTGAAAACATTTTCTTTCCATGATTAAAGATTTCACACTCTTATCTTTAGTTGTAGTTCAGCCAGCGGCAGACCTTGCGGTCCACATATCACCACCCAACCACAACAAAAATCATGCAAACACTGCCCCAAATAGACCAGCAACATTTTACTGGAAGAGGCCCCGGCCTTGGTCCTTCTTCCCAGCTGAGATCGAGGCAGGCAGAGTGCGAATTACACCCACTGTTTGAGCAGGAACTACCGGGGCCTATTTGTGGCTTTTTCATGGTCTGTCTTCAACCGCAGACATTACAGTACCTCAATGGGTTCACAGTGGGTTTCTCTGGAACTGGGCATTTCAGAGACTTTTGTCAGCAATAGTTTTAGAGACCGGCTGGTGCACAGTGCAGGATTTTCAGCTTTTCCTCTAACTCAGAGAGGAAGTACAGATGTCCTGAGGTGAATTGCTTAAAAAAAATGACATGGTAGGAAATATTAAGGCAAATTACATTAAAAGCCATAAAATTAATTTTGTTAGTCAGAGCATCTTTGGAAACACATGGTAACCTGCTATAGTTTGTTTTGGTTATTCACCAAAAGAGGTTATTTTGTAATTTGTTTCCAGCACTCAGCAAGATTTGAATCAAAACATGATGGTTCTTGTTGGTTTGGGTGATTATGCTGTTAATATCCTTCCCAGTCCTTATAAATTAGATTAATACTTTTAATTAATGCATAAACTGATGTTTTAACTGTGGTTGTTACTATTTTTTCACAGATATATTTAGGAAAAGTAATGTAAAAACAAGACTTGCATGGAGACTATTTCTTTGGTGGATTTCATGGTTTCATTAACAACAGTTCTGCTCTCATAACAGTGCAAGCTGAGTACAGCCAGGTCCCCTAGCATCTTATGTGTAGCTAAATCCGACAAATCACATGCAGCGACCATGCCTACAAAAATGACAGACAAGATTACAATTACAAGGTGGATGTTAACAAGCAATATTAGATCCTTAGCAGGACTGAAACACAGACAAACTTAGCAGAAGGTCGTTCTGATTTGTAAAAGGAATGTCACTCATGTTTGTTTCATTCTTTGTAAACTACAACTGGCCCAATTTGAAAACCCACTGAATAGTGTGCTGGCATAGTGCTGGGGAAAGTAACTAGCTTTTCTATGCTTCCAGTATTGCCAGGATGTCTGGATAGCTCATACCCGATAGAAGACTCCCTCTCCTGCGTGCCAGGAGACAAAAGCAGATAAATTTACAATAGCTAATAAAAAACTAAATTACCATGAGAAGAGTTTCTAGATTGCGTTTAATCAAATTAAATCTCTTGCTTGTTCTCTACACAAGATTTTAACCTTCATGCAGCCGACGCCATTTCAAAAACAGCTGGTCAAAAGAACTTGGACTTCAAGTGGACTATCAGAATCAGAATACTTTATTGATCCCTGGGGGAAATTATTTGAGCAGGAGCGACTGTAACAGGCTGCACGCTGGTTGGCGCATGCGCACTGAATGTGCTACAAAGGGAAACCAGAAACCATTCTAATCACCTTGAAAGTCAGTATTTTGTATGATGACCTTTATTCTTAAATATATCCTGAACTCTCTTAGGAAGCTTTGTAGTAATTTCTTTAAGTAGTTTTCAGGAATAGGTTTCCAGACTTCTTAAAGGACATTCAAAGCTCTTCTTTGGATGTTTCTGCCTTTTGTTCTGTTCTCTTGTCAACATGATGACACAGTACTTCAATAATGTTGAGGTCTGGGCTCTGGAGAGGCCAATCCATGACTGAGTGTTCCACTGTGTGTTTTTCTATGAAGATACCTTTTTACGGCATTGGCACTGTGTTTGTCGTGCTGAAAAATGAAGCTTTTTCCAACCAGATGCTTTCCAGATGGTATTGCATGGTCAATCTCAATCTGACAGTACTCTTCTGTTTTCATACTTCCATCAAGTTTGACAAGATCACTAACACTACTGGCTGAAATGTGTCCCCAAACTATGATTGTGCCTGGGACTTTTACAGATGGCTGTAGAAATGCACTATTTTACCTCTCTGCTGTCCCCCTCTGTACATATTGATAATGATTTGAAGCAAAAATTTCAAACTTGAACTCTTAACTCCATCAGACCTGTTGTCACTAATTTTCAGTCTAGTTATTGTGTAATTTGGCATACCTCAGCTTTTACTCCCAGTTTTCCTCAAGACCGTGACTTGAGCTAACCTTCCACTGAGATCGTTTCAGATGTCTCAGGTTCTGTGTGATTTGTTTTTTATTTTTAAGGAGACAACATTCAGATACTGTTCATCTGCTGTATAGTCTTTCAGGCATGACACTTCTTTTGTCCTCCACTTGTCCAATTTCCTCAGATTTCTTAAGGACACACTGCACACCATACACCATGCAGACATAACCAGTTTTCAGCTAATAGCTCTTTGGGAATCACCTTGGTAGTCACCAAAAATACTATTTTCTGCCCTTCAAACTGTGTTATCTTTGGCATTTTTCACAGATTCAACAAAAGAAATTGAAAGAAATTGTTTTTTTGTTTTGCAAAATACTAGCAACAATCTGCCTAAAGATACTATTTAAGATTGTTTTTGCAAAGTTGTGTGTCAAGAGTTTTTCACAGTACTCTACTTTCATATGCAAATAACTCTTGATCCATATGTATAAACTAGATCCAAGTATGGGAAAGATGCATTGCAGCTGAATTTTTACACGTGATACTATGTTTATATTGTGAATTGATCCTGTAACTAGAATTAAATTTTCTATTAATGACAGCGATGATCTTGGCTTAATCACTGTGTCATCAGGTGATATCATAAAATCATTAAATGATCAGTATACATGAAGCTGTCTGATTTCAAAAAATAAAACAAAACTTGTCAGGTTATCTAAAAGTAAAAACAAAGACACTTTGCATCACAGCTTTAACTGCAATCTGAATCACATCACAGTAAAAGCCTGTGTTTGCTCCACATCCCAACTTGGCCAAGACTGGGAAATACATATGGTAAGAGTGTGTCTGTACAGCTGAGTATGAGAGGGGACGTTGTTATCAACTGGGCAGCCTTTCAGCTTAGGACTTGTCACAGTTCCCTCATCCAGGCCCCCTTAATGTCTGCCTTCTTTCTTAGTCTCAGGGATTAGACCAAGAAAGAGGGTCTTTTCTTCTGCCTGCTAACTCCAGACAATCGGCACAATCACTTGTTATTCTGCTCAAGTCCCACATAGTTGGAAAACAAGGAAACTTGTGGTTCAAGGAATGTTTCAAGGAAACAAGGGCTTCATTTCCTGGGAAAAATCAATTTTTACAACGAAGCCACTGCAATCTATTCAACATATCCCAAGCTCAATTTTCTGGTCAAACATGGCACAATCAATCACACTGCTAACATAGTATTTAAGAGTGTTCCTGACAAAAACAGAACCACCCTTATATCAGCAGCATGAATGGGGACTCTCTTGTGTGGGCAAAACCTAGCTTTGAAACTTGACATGAAGAGGTGACAAGGGTGCAGTGCATTGAATTCCCACCTTTACAACATCGCTGAAAACTTTTTTTAAAAATTGAAAAAAAAATCTTTGAAAAATCAAACATGAAAATGCCCATGAGGGGATGGCATATTTAAGCTATAATGGATGATAGTTTTTTGACTGTTGTTGATGCGTGAGATTGTATTAGCTATGGATGTCAAGAACAGTCATGTGACCCAACCTTGACACATCAGCTCCACTTTTGTTTTTCTTCCTTTACAGCTTTTGTTTTGCCAGCCAGAGCACCAGCTTCAAGCCAAGGCCTCTGTCAATACAGCACAAGCCAGAGTTTCCCTGGCTCCCTTTGGTGTGGAGGTAATTTATCATAAGGGGGAAATGGGCAACCACCCACATGCCACATTACATTGGCAACTCACTCAGTCATTATTGTGGGAAAGGTGTTAACAGCAGAGAAGGTAGTGTCAATGACCTCGGAGAAGGCATCTGCCATGTCGCCTAAGTGTGAAAAGAAGCTGAATATTGACCTTTAGAGGGTGTTTTCTGGTAACTGTTAGTGTGTTTCATGTTTTGTTATAATAAAAACAGCTGAAACATCAGAAATCTCCAACTTAACTGTAATTATATATATAAAAAATATAAACTGTAATATCCTTTTTTGTAATCAAAATTGGCAGACACAGCTATTAACATTGGCAGAACTAAGCTGTGAATGGTTTCCTTCCTGGCAGCTAAGTATCTTTCAGGCTATGCATTTATTGTTAATAAGCAATTTATGCTTCCTTGTATTCCTATTATTTTCCCTGTCTGCAAAACACAATGGATTAATAATGTCAGCTAAAAGAATCACATTTTTTATGCCCAATGGGAACTAAAAAAAAAAACAAAAAACAAATACAAATACAAAAACCCACATTCTTAATTTCTAATTAGTTCAACTTGAACTCCAAAGACTAAGTTAAAGATGCCACTGTGACATCACCAACTGTCACCAACTAATGCTGGCTAGTTAGCTTGGTTAGTAAGGTACATCTGTACTTTTATACTATCTGTGGTATAAAATGGGATTCTATCTTCATCAAAAACAGGGCTTGAAAAAAAAATTAGTAAAGACACAAATGAGTTATCAGAATCAAAATATCAGAAATTGGTAACTTATCATTGTCACCAAGAAGGGGCAAATTAGCTCTAGAGACCAACACTGTTTTATGCTCCAAAGATATTTCTTTGGGAACTGACCCACTTTGAAGGCTGATTGAAGTGGTCAATTGAGGAGCTGCTTTTATGTCTTTCTTGAAATTGTTTTTCAGTTCCTGATGTTTGCTCATCATTTTGAGAAGTTATTTATTCTCCCATTGCTACAAACAAATATTTACATCTTTGCTGTCAGTGTTGTAAATCTTTACTACGTTAGAGTAAGTTAGAGTCACATTTGTTTCAACTTGGTAGTGAAGACACCAACAATCTTAAAAAAAAAAAAAGAAATTATATA